TTTGTTATTTCTTCATATCATTTGCATGTTTTATCTGATTTGAATGAAGTGTTTCACAAAAATAAACTAAAAATTAATTATGGCAACCACAAATCTGTTGTACATGTAAAAATAAAAAAAATGGAATTTAAACTAAAATATAATGTAGTGATGTGTCTAAATACAAAATGGCTACCTATTTGAGCCTTTAAAAAATTAGCTGTAAGAAAGTTAGTGTTATATGAAGTCTTGCAACATATTGAGACTAACGCTTATTATGAATCTAAAAATTTCAATATATCTAATTTGATTTTATTTCATGAACTTGCTATTAGTATCGTGTATTCCTCTCTCTTTCCATCTCTTTACAAATTCACGTCCAACGCCTCACCAGTAAGTCTATTAGTCCAATTTCACAAGCTTACTTTTATGCAAGGATTTTCTTGCTTTCAAGCCTACTTGTCCAAATATTGCTAGTTTCTTGTTTCTTGGTGTGAAAATTTTATTTCTGATTATTCATGTGGTACTTTGTAGAAATCTTAATGATTTTTCCAATCTTATTTAAACGCTGTCAAGTGCTCAATTTGTCCAAGCCAGGCATATTGATGCTGAAGCCACTATTTGCTCCTGTTATGATCCTGCTACCTCCACTACCTCAATCAATTGTTGGCTCTGCTTGTTTTTCCCGCTACCATGTTGTGTTGCTAATGAATTTCCCGCTACATTCCCACTATTACAATTGCAGTCATGCCTTTTACCTCGCACTAATTTACACTCGCTGCTCTTTATCTATTGCAATCCTAGCCTTAGTCTTGCACTGCTCCTTTGCCACTCATTGTTTTTTAGAAATTTCTATTTTGGTAGCTTGCTTCCGAAAACAATTTTGGAAATGAGGTTTATGAAAAAGTAAACCGTAAGCCCTTATCTTTTTTGCTTTAGTCGTGGATGTTCTCACTAGACATTTGCAAGAGGATGTACGTTTGTGTATGCTTTTTATTGATGATATTCTTCTTGTTGATAAGACTAGAGACTAGAGAGGGAGTTGAAGATAAATTCTAATTAAGGAGGTCAACCTTAGAGTCTAAAGGTCTTCATTTGAGTAGATCTTAAACCGTATATATGGAGTGTAATTTTAGTAGTAATAGATCTAGTGGGGGGTTTGTGACTTTGAGCGATCAAGTCATTAATAAGTGTACTCGTTTTAGATATCTTGGGTCTATTGTTCAGAGTGATGGTGGGGATATTATTAATAGAATTCAAGTTGGATGGTTGAAGTGGAGGAATGCTTCGGGTTTGTTGTGTAATAGAAAAGTACCACTCAAACTTAAGGGAAAATTTAATAAGATGGTGGTGAGACCTACGATGCTTTGTGGCGCAGAATGTTGGCCATTAAAAGAGAAGCATAATATTAAGTAAGTGTTGCTGAGACGAGGATGCTAAGGTGGATGAGTGAACTTACTCTTAGAGACAGGATACAAAACGAGCATATCCGGAAAAAGGTTGGAGTATTTCCAGTGACAGATAAGATTAGAGAGAGTCGCCTTAGATGGTTTGTTCATGTAAAATGCCGGCCTTCTGATGATCCTGTTAGGTAAGTAGATGTATTAGATTTGGCCTATGTTATGAAAGGTAGAGGTAGACCTTTCTTTATTAGATTTAAATGAGAAATTGACTCTTAACATGACACAATCGAGAAAAAGGATTCATGTAGTCTGACCCACGTAATGAGATAAAGGTTTGAAGTTGTTGTATTCTTTAAAAGTTATAAATAGGGATATGCAGAAAAATCAATCTAATATAAAAATGCAATTCTAGTTTTCCCCTCCCATATGTTATTGGATGCATGCTCTTTGATTCTTCACAAGTGGGATAGCTATTTTTTGAGGGAGACTCTTTGTATTGGCCTAAGGTTTAGTTCTTTCATTTGGGGCAATTTCTATGCTTATTCTTGTCTCTTGATTTTCCTAGTCCCTGGCTTTGCTTGTGTGATTGAAAGCTTATAAAGTTAAACATTTGTTGGGTTTATTTTTGAAACGTTAACTTAATTTGCTACTGAAATTTTATGTTTTGTCATTATTTCCTTGTAAAATTTAACATTCTTGCAATCACTAAACTATCTTCTAGAATGAGTAAAGTGTTCATGTTTCTTTTTCATCAAAAGGGACCATTTTTTACTTTATTTATGAATTAGTAATTCATGAATTGTGAATTTTTATGTGTTTTTAATGGGCACTTCATCATTAATTGCATTATAAATTCGAAACCATCATTTGTTGCACCTCACAAGTCATCTAATTTAAATAGAGAAAAGAACCAAAATGGTCCCTCAACTCTTCATGAGGGGACTAAAATGGTCTCCAACTCTTTTGAAGGATGAATTTGGTCCCTCAACTCCTTAAAACGACACATATTTGGTCATATCGTAAACTTTTAACGGTAGTGGGATCTACCGAACACACAATGGGGGTATAATCAGAAAAAAAATTGTAAAAGCTTTTCATTATACACAGAAGCGAATTGTTCGAACCCTACAGTAGCATCGAAACCCTAGCGCAGTGTGCGTGAACAGCAGCTTCAACCCAGCATTCCGCAGTGCACGTCAAACTCAATTCAACCCTAACATCCCTCGCACTTGTCGACTACCACTCCTCCAGCCCTAGTGGGCATTCGAAACTAAACGGGATTTGAGCGCCCCGTAAATCTCACAGTGGAATAAATCCTTTGTTCTCTCTTTTTGTCGTAAATTCCGGATTTACTAAATCCTGTGGTTCAGCGGATTCATGAGATTGGTCGAAGAAGCACACGAAAGGGATAATATGGTTACCTTCGCAGCAGCAGATCCCGTCGTGACTTCTGATCCGACGTCGTTGAAGGAAGCGAAGAAGCTTATTTAGTGACTCTTTAAACATGCTACTTCAACCCGGTAAACATCACTTCACGCGAAGCACACGAGGCCGAAGCAAGCACGAAGAAATGGCGAGGAGAAAAAACAAAATGAAGAAGATGAAAAACAAATCGTAGATTAATGAGATAATTAGTAATATAATTAATAATTAAAGTAATTAAATAATACTTTAAAATTAATTAAATCAGTAGTATGAGTATTAGTTAAATAATTAGTTATTTAAAAAAATAATTAATTAATTCAATATTTATTAATATAATTAGATATCAAATACTTATTAAATTAACACCTAAATAAGTAATTTAATAAATAATATTATAATTAGTAATTAAATTATTTAACAATTAAGCTAATTTCAAGTTAAATTATTTATCATTATAACTTGTTGATTAAAATTAAAATTAAAATTAATAAGTAATTAGTACTTAAAATGCAATTAAATTAATAACACATTAAATTTTATTTTAATTATAGTCAACAGTCGTCTTGCGGATACTATTATACCGCATCATGGCTTTGTTGGTTTCAATGCGCTATTTGGATTCTTTATAGGTGGAAATGATTAGAAATCTTGAAATTAAAGAAAAGTTTAATAATTTTTTTTACAAAAATTATAATTCCTAAAAAATTATATTTATGAAACATTTTAATTAAAAATGACCAAATTACTCTCATACTTAACATCATCAACTTTACCATTAGATGGCATGACCAAATTGGTCCCATTTGGAGGAGTTGAGGGACCAAATTGGTCTCTCAAAAGAGTCGAGAACTATTTTGATCCTTCACAAAGAGTTGAGGGATCATTTTGGTCATTTTCTCAATTTAAATAGTTACTTTTGGAATCATTGAAATATTTACATACAATTAGGTTTATATAGTGAAAACATGTTTTAATACTGAATCATTTAAAAAAGAACTTAATAAGTTTAATAAATAAGCATTAAACATGTCAGCTCAGACGCTTAGATTAAACTAATTTTCCAACTGCAACTTTAGGATAGAGCTGCAGTTTTTCTCAAGCAATACCGTTGAGAAATCAATATTATATGATCCATGTCATTAACCTTTTCCCAACATTTTAAGATTTTCTTTATTAAGCCTCCTCCATTCAATCTTATTGAGTTCTAAATGTGTTACTCTAGTTTCCACTAGTATTTTTTTCACAACTCTTACCATGTTATTTTGATCAAGCCCTTTTTAAAGTTGAAGTTAAAAAACAAGAATTTTAATAACATGACTGGGAGAAAGCGAAAAGATTTTTCTTGTAATTCTCTTTGATAATTGTAGTCTACTTCTTGAAAAAAATATTAAAACTAAAAAAATCCATCGTAGAAGCATACGTGGTGTAAGAGTATTTAGCAAGCAGAGGAGGAAATAGTAACGGTATGCAGGATAATGTACATAGAGGGGTCAATACCAATGAGCTCTAGCTTAGGAGTTTTGTTCCTTGGTTCGGGTTTGGAGGTTCCAAGTTTTAGGCTTCATTTGGGGCGGTTTTTTTACAGCTTCTTGAAGCAGCTTTTTATTATAAAAATTACAGTTTTTTACTAAAAATTTGCTTTAAAAAGCAGTAAAAAAACTGTCCCAAATGAAATCCTAATTTTCTGTGGGTGGCATGCTTTGAGTTGCTCCCTGTGCGGAGTTTATGAGTATTTAACTGTGTTGTACCTTATTTAAATTAATAAAATTATTTGAGATAGATTTGAGGGTTTAATAGGCTGATATAGAAAAATGATAGGTATTTACCGAGGAATAAATTTTGATAGGATTTCGTACATTACTGCAAAAGACAACCTTAATAGTTGTAATTATGATGTACTTCGGCAATATTGATCTGAATTGGCGATTCTCTTCTTCTTTAGCACTTTGTAATACCTTGTTATATTATGTTATTATTATTATTATTTTTTGAGAGTTATATTCTGTTATTTGGGCATATCTGCCTGTTATTATTTATATTTAAGCTTTGTGCTGTTTTCATTTAGGCAAAATTATCCATATGATGCTTCAAAAAGTGAATGTCTAACAACCTTTATTTTTTATTTGATTTTATTTATTTAGTTTTTGTGAAATATGAAATTGCAACATCATTGGGCTAAGTTATCTTTTGCAGATTAGAGAAGCGGAGAAAGCGGCTATGTGCCAGGCAAAAAAGATTGAGGAGCTTGAACTTCAGCTTGGGGAAGCAGAGGATACAATAGTTGATCTTAGAGAAGATTTGAAAAGAGTGAGAGAAGAATTGATAATGGTGAAAAATGCTTCAGTTCAGCCATTGTGTGAAGGAAACATAAATGATGCATGTATGAAATGTAACAATATAGGGAAGGAAACTAGTGCTGATAACTTGAATGAACCTGGAAATATGCCAAAAAGCTGTAAAAAAATGACCACATCGACTCAGAAAGCTACAGATACCCAGCAGTGTTGCCTTCAAAATGCTGAAAAAGTTGCATATCCTGAAGAATTTTCTGCAGAGGTTGATTGTCCAGTAAACACTGATTTGGCATCTATCATCTGGAGGAGGAAAGTGCCTGAGCTATATAGGAAGGGTTATCGTATCCATGCATTGGAGCATAATTTGACTTCAAAGGAGCCGTCTGGTGAAAGCAATAGTGAGAAATTTCAAATTTCCGACAAAACGGATTCTGCAATGTCAGATAAAAGAACACAGGTTAAGGATGTTTCGATGTTTGAAGAGACAGAGCAACAACCAGGCTACTGCAAAACGATAGAAACTGGACAAGAACCAGGTTGCAGTGGAAAAGATCATTCTAACTTCTCCAGTGGGTTTTCACCCAGAAAGCAAAGAACATGTAAGCAGTCAAATGTTTTCTCTGATGGTATTTTTTCAGATAAATCCAAGTCTTGCTCCAGTAGCTCTAAGTTCATCGTCCATGATGAATGGAATGAATCTGAAGCACCCAAGGAAACTTCAGCTCCTTTTATTCAGGCTGCAACAGAAATTGGTGAAACTGCAGAAGGTAAGAAGTCTCTTGCAGAAATTTCTGCAGAAAGGGAAACATTGATGTTGAATCAATGCAGATTCGACACATCTATGAAGAAAGAAAGTGTTGGGATCAAGCAGTGTTCTGAAAGAACAAACAGCCGAAGCTTTCAGAATCATAACCAGTCTGTTAGTGAAGATACATTTCTGCAGAATTCCTCGAGGCATTTTGAAGATGTGAAAGATCCTTTGTTATCAGGAACATTTTCTAAGACAGGTAGTCATCCTTCCAGTGTAGCTATAGAGGAAGATTTAGAAGACAGGATAGAAATGGCATCAGCATCAAAGGCAGAAACGCAACACATAGCAGAAAATTCGGACAATTCCAATACAGTAAAATCTGACACCAACGATATAGCAAGTGGAACTGGTCAAACTGGAACAGATAAATTTCTGAAGTATACATTCCAGAGGAAAAGAAAGAAGGAATCTTCTCCCATAAAAAATGAGATTGCCTTCCCTGAGAAAAAGCTCACTTTGAGGCAAAAATCTGTGGATAAGCAAGCTTCCGTGTCTGCACCTTCAAAATCTAGTGTGGCAACAGATTTACCTCGAAAAAATAGGCGACTTGTTCAAGTTGCTCGCCAGGTTTGTAGTTTCTACACTCTTCTTGAGAACTGTAGTCTTTTTTTATGTCTTTTCTAAGGAACTGCCTATTAGATTTGACTTATGTTAAGATAGGTAGAGGTAGACCTAAAAAGACCTGATTAGAAAATATTAGAAATGATCTTTCTTTATTAGATTTAACTGAGAATTTGACTTTTAACATGACACAATGGAGAAAAAGGATTCATGCAGCCGACCCCACGTAGTGGGACAAATACTTGATGTTGTTGTTGTTGTTGTTGTAAGGAACTGTCTGGAAAGTTAATATAATTTTGCATTTGAGGAATTGATTAACATAGAAAAGCTGAATTGCTAGGTTGGCATCCTAATTGAAAATAATATTTTTATGTATGGATAGAAACCTATGAATTGTGAAAGATAAGCTTTTGAACTGGCAATTTGTAGCAAGTTTAGTAGGATCCATTGAAGTATAAGGATTAGAGGTAACTATAAGAGGGCGTTGTGTGTCCATTTTGCATTTTTATTTCCTCAATACAATGCATGTTGCAGTTTGTTTGTGAGTTTTGGAATTCTTCACTTCAGTCTATTTGTTTTCAAATTGAATGTAGTTTGCTTTTTTCAATCAAGTCTGCTATTAATTCTTGTAAAACAATAGCTTAGGCCCGCCCTCTTTACTGGAATAGGATTAAAGACAGATTCTAATGCGTTTTGGAAGTAAAACAACAAGGAAACAAGTAGAAAACTGCAGAAATTTGAAGATAGGGGCTGATTTTGATTAATTCTTCAATAATAATGAATCATACAATTGATCTACTATTCGAGACGTAGATCAACTCTCTCACAAACCCTAGACGCCGCTTAGAACAACTCCTAAGAAAATTACAGCAAACATAAATCCCATCATGCTGAAAATACAACATGGTTAGCTCTAAATAGGCTCCCCTAGTTTCTTCCTAAATCAGGCCTTTTCCTTAATTGACCCCCTCCCTAATTTGAATTCATTTTGGATCTCTTTCCCTAAATAAAAAACTTCGTAATTTCCTCCCAATTTTGAATTCAAATCAATCCCTTTTTTTTAAATAAACCTTTCATAATTTCCTTATCAATCTAAATTCTATTGCCCATCTTTCCCTAAATAAACTTTCCTAATTATTTCTCCCTTGATTTCTCCTCCTTATATAGTGAATATTAACCTCCCTTGGGCCCCACAAGGTGGGCCCTCTGGCATATCGATACTCTCTCCCCCTCCAAAAAAAAAAAAAAAACACATTGTCCTCAAGGTGGAAGGGTGAGAACTATCTTCTGATCATCTCGTATGGATCCCATGAGGCTTCGTACTTCGATAGATCATTCCACTTGATTAGTATCTCATGTGTTCCCGTTTCCTCTTGGCACATAGGTACTGATAGAGCTGTCAGTTGTGGCTCATCCCTCTTCCTTGATACTGCATTGTTCTCTAGTCCTTGGTGATACTGGATCTAACAATCATATCCAAGTAATTTGGATAACCACCCAAATAAATATTTAAAATCATGAAATACAATTTTTTTAGCCCTCTACTGCATGACATGAGGTATTTTTTAAATATTTATTTGAGTCGACATCGTGCCTCGCGCCGAGATCCCTAAATATAAAATCATCAAATATGTTATTTGGATCAACATCTTGCTTCACGCCAGGATCCCTAAATAAATATTAAAATCATCGAACATAGATATCTCCACAAACAAGGAGATGTAGTAAATCTTCTTGCAATATGTATATATGCAGGTGATGCTTCAAAACTCAAGACATCGTCTTCTTTAACATACCAAGACTCTGAAGGCTAGCAAAAAAGATTTTCATGGCTACATAACCCAGCAAGTCGAGCTAAAATGGCACAAGTTCTTCTCCAACATGAAGCTAAGATTCGAGTGGGTGTATGAGTCCGAATTCAACAAGCCTAAATATGGTTTAATCGCTAGCAGCTCCGTCTACTCAACAAGCCATAAAAAAGGTCATAGTAGAGGAACCCCCATTCAATCAACTTGTTGGCAAGGACTGTTGAAAGCACAAAGGCTTATTTGACTCAATGAGTTCAAGTAGTCGTAGTCCAAAAAATTCTTCTAATTGATTGGAGAATCAACGTTACAGTGAGAAGGACGAGTCTCAATAAAGACAGCTAGCGAATGCACGTAAGCTTTGAGATCTCGAACCACGAAGGATGACTTCAAAACTATAAACTTCAGTAAATTTTTAGCTTGGGAAGCATGTTCCACCACAACTCAAGTCTAAAGCCCGAATGAAAGAAACTCAACAAGCCAAGTTGTGACCGAGTCGCTGACAGCTTCATCTACTCAACAAGCTATAATAAAGGCCGTAGCAGGGGAAACCCCATTTCAGTATTTGGATGATAAGAGCCGTTAAATCCCAGCTCACTCGATCTGATAAGTTCAAGTAACTTAGATTGAAGTCATCTTGACTGGTTAAGGGTTAAGGTATTACCTGCATTTGGTACTGCTAATTAAGCACAAAATTTGCAAATCCTTTAACAAATCTATAAAGCACAAAGTGAGGATTGAGAAAATTCTTTTTCAGCAAGTCCGCTTAAGCACAAAGCAAAGGACCGAACAAATTATCTCAGAGTTCATATAAAGTCTAAGGCTTACTAAGAGTATTTTGTCATTAGAAGTTTGTTATACACAAAGCTCTGGACCGATGATCCCTCGCCATCGACCTAATGTAAACCTAAAGAGTTTGGGTTAGTGACATCTACTCCTTCATCAAGCCCGCTAAAACAAGAAGTGGATGGTATAAGGTACATAAATATCTTAACAAGTTAATAAAGACAAATTAGGTAATCCTTCACCAATATCTGTCGCACAAAGCACAAAGTAGACGTAACCAAATCTTAGAACTCAAGCTAAAACTGTGAAAATAATGCAGCTGCTAACTCCAACGAGTGTCTAAAGACGTAAACACAATAACCACATAAGTTACAAGGGCAGAAAACTCGTGAACAGACAAATTTATAAAATTGTTTTATTTTATTAATTCAAAATTTATATACAAGTTTATAATTTTCATCCTTTTACTAGCTTGTATCAGCCAACAAAAAAAGGGCTACATTATCCTTCGCAGAGGATTGAAGTCTATCTTTTAAATCTATGCATGAAGAGGAAGTTGACAGCCTCGCTCTATTCTTCCAAAGACCAGGTATTTTGCACTTTTGGGATCTGCACAAACCAACATAAACATCAGGAAAAAGAAAGAGAAACGACCATGCATGCGTGTGTAAAGCTACAAAAGAAAGGTGCACTGAACCAAAGTCTCCTGTAGTAGCTAACCAACTGATGTCCAGCTCCTCTTGAAACTTGTGTAAGCAAGGGTACCAGTGGACAACTAAAGAAAGAGAAGGGAACATATATTCCAAGTTTCTATCATAATTTTAGTTTCATGGACTAGCTTCTTTGCCCACATCCGTCCTTGATGTGAGAACCCTTGCCTATTTAACACTACACCCAGACGCCGGTGCAGCGGCCCTTGCACACTTGTCACTGTATTCAGGTCATACAGCGCGTCGCTTACAGGGGACTTCCTAACATTAACACAATTTCTTAAAGGATTCATGTCATTATTATTCGACAAGTTTTACGCTGGCTGTTGACTACCTAATGCAACCCTCCATTTTTCTCATCCAGGACTTGGGACCTGAAAACGATAGTGTTAGAGAAAAACTACACAGACTAACAAAGTAAAAAAGTGTACATGAGCGAAAGCCTCTTGTGGCAGCTAACTGGCTGGTATCCTGTTCTTGCGAGGACCTGTGCAAAATAATGAGTCATCACTATATAAAAATGGGTAGTGTAAACATAAGATGAAAGCTAAAAAAAAAATAAAAAAAGAAAAGGCATACCTGAGCTGAAGGCAACTATAGAAAACTTGAGGTAGCAAAGTCCTGCAAGTTGGTGAATCTGCAAAGTTTGGGAAAATTTTGAACGACACATGCAATTATATAATATAAATGTTATATTCATATATGATTGTAATAATGATGAATGTTGAGCATATACAAAGCCTACGAAATTCGGTTCTCTGTCAGTAAGTCGACAGAGTCAATAAGGTTCAACCCATGAATGCAAGGACCCCACATTCACCTCGATGATGGCCATGTTGAATGCAGATCTCAACCGGAGGGGTCTATTCCAAATATTTCAAATACCTCCTAAATACTCATAAAATTCAAAACTCCAAAAAATCATCAAAATCAAAATATTTAAAATTTAAATTCATCCATCCAAACACTTAAGGCAAAATTCATCCACCCTCCGCAACAGTTTGCCAAGGTAGACGAATTGAAATTTACTTCAGCTCAAATAGAGCTAATGCATAGTCGAAAATATCCCTAGGATCCATTCTAAAATAATCTTATGCTAATAAGGACGTGGAACATGTTCTCTGACCGACGATTTTGCCGCCAAATGGCACTGCAGGATAAACGGTTATGACTCAGGGCCATCTGAACCGAGTGGTTTTGCTACTAAATGGCACCACGAAATACCGGTTATTGGCTCTGGCCAATACGCTTCTTAGTGGAATCAAATCCTTGAGATATGAATCAATAGGATATAATCGATAAGGCACAAAGCCTTCTGTTAGCTAAGTTGGATTTAAATTTTTCCCCTTAGGGTAAACACTACCCAGAGATTTCGCCCTCATTTTGTGAGGACTTTATGATCTGAGTTCTGGTTTCCTATAGGCGCAAGCCCCTATAGTTAAGTACCCCTCCCGATCACGAGAGAGAACTTTCGATTAAGGCTAGTCATCGATCAGATACGTAGATTATACGTGCATCTGGCATATAGTAGCAGCAATTAGTATTGGTATTGAGGATTGGAAGTTTGGAATTTGAAGGGTTTGGAGAGTTTGATATTTAAAATAGACATTTCACCATCTTGCACTTAAAGCGAATGGTGTGGGAATGGATGATAGACCCGATCAAGATCCCATGGTTCCGTCGTCCCAGGCCATCGTGGTCCCTG